TTACCTTTAATTAGCTTTTTCACCTGTATTTTTTACAGGTTAATGAGATAATATAGCACATTTGAATATATGTTTATAATCAGTAGGTAATTTGCAAGTGAAGTGCCAAATTTCATAAAGATCCCATGGATATTACCAAAGATATTGACATTTGAATAAAATGATTGAAAAATCTTAAATTTTGTTGAATTAATTAGATTTATACACCTATATACATTGTAACTAATGTAGCAATGAAAGGGTTAAGACATTGTGACCTACTTCTAACGAACTCAAGCAAACACATTTAGAGGTTGTGACTAATTTGTAATGAACTCAAAGACATTTAGACATTGTGACCAACTTGTAACGAACTCAAGCGAAGACATTAAGACATTATAAGCAACTTGTAAAGAACACAGGCAATAAGCAACTTGTAAAGAACACTGGCAAAAACTTTAATTAAGACATTGTGACCAACTTTTAATGAACTCGATCAAAGACATTTAGACATTGTGTCCAACTTGTACCGAACTCAAGCAAACACATTTAGAGATTGTGTCCAACTTGTACCAACTCAATCAAAGACATTTAGACATTATGACCAACTTGTAACGAACTCATTCAAAAACATTTAAGACATTTTAAGCAACTTGTAAAGAACACAAACAAACACATTGTCACCAACTTATATAGAACACAAGCAAAGATATTTAGACATTGTGACCAACTTGTAAAGAACAAGCAGAGACATTAAGAAATTGTGACCAACTTGTGCAAAGACATTGTGACCATTCAACTATAAATATTCTTTTGAGTGTGTGAATGTGTGTGCAATACAAAGTTAAAAAAATGTTTAAAAGGAGAAACACATTTTCTTAATTTAAAATGTTAGAATGACTCGAGGTTAGTGGATATTCATGTAAAAAAAGATCAGGTTTCTCCGAAATGGATAATGTTTAATCTAGCTTTCATTTAGGACATTGTGCTGGAATGTATCTTCCTGATGGTAAGTGTACTTTGTTTAAGTATGTAACTCTATACTCATGGTATGTCTGCGTTATACTGTCAGATCCGGGGCTATCTTAGGCCAAACATAAGTATGTCTTTGTTATAATACTATCAGATCCCGGCCTATCTTAGGTCAAACATAAGTATGTCTTTGTTATACTGTCAGATCCGGGGCTATCTTAGGACAAACATGTTTATGTCTGCGTTATACTGTCAGATCCGGGCCTATCCTAGGCCAAACATGTTTATGTCTGCGTTATGCTGTCAGATCCGGGCCTATCCTAGGACAAACATGTTTATGTCTGCGTTATACTGTCAGATCCGGGCCTATCCTAGGACAAACATGTTTATGTCTGCATTATGCTGTCAGATCCGTGGCTATATTAGGCCAAACATGTTTATGTCTGCGTTATATTGTCAGATCCGGAGCTATCTTAGGCCAAACATAAGTATTTCTTTGTTATACTGTCAGA